CATTATTGCTGTTATTATTTGGATTATCACTGTGCGGTCATTTGGGCCCTGCAAAATTGTGACATCAACCCCATTTAGAGCAGTTTTCACTGTTCATTATCTACAAGTGATGCGAATGGACTCTTAATATTTTTATTTTTGCTATTATTACAATTGTGATAATCTGATTGAAGTTTCAGGACAATACGACATAAATCGCTGATATTTTTAAATAAACATTTCTCAACAAACTTCGTGATAACAAGCTTTGAAGAATCTTTCACGTGGCCGACTCTGAGTCACAATAAGATGCTCGCAAGGCGCAGCAAAACGGTACGTGTTGCTGTTATTAAAATGGTCATTATCATTACCACTATTATTGTTGCTATTACTATCGTTCTGATTAGCATTGTCTCTCTTATTACTGTCATTGTTACCATACTCGTGTAGTTTTCAGATTATCGCCAAGCAAACAAGACGGAGCGGTACTGCTTCTGTGCTACTGAATGAACCGGAAAATAGATCGCTAACATTCTCTCAACATCTATAGTCTTATTATATAAATCTTATGATCGGTTATTATCAGTAACGGAATCAGCGGAATCCCTCGTTGAGTTGATGTTAGTCTTGATAATAACTACATAAGCGTTGTTGTGCTGGGTCGATAGCTAAATGATGTGTTATTCGAAGTTATCATCGTAATAGCGAATCAGTGACTCATTGGGTAGGATAGATTATTTTGAGTATGCGATAAGTAAACATGTACGGGATTTCGATATATTCATACGATTAATGAAAGATATCATGATGAGTACCCATTGATTACACATTGAAGTGAACGTTACGTTGCGACTAGTCACTGATTAGTCGGTCGTTAACGCGTCGTCTCACTACCGATGTTATCAGCATTATCATTCACAAATGACCATTGGGTAATTATCGATCAGTTCTTCAGAAGATGACTACCAGTCAAGCAGAGGAGAAGACACACAGTGAATGTACTGACTCCAAGAATCTCGCTCAAGCCATATTGCATTCAAGGCAGAAACGCTATGCAATGAATTTTCACCTCCGTATGCTCAACATATCGATCAAACAATTCGCTGAATTCGTGGATGTTCAAAAGAGCATAACAGCAATAAAATAAGAAATTAACAGTCAGCCATGTTTGGAACGATTTTCACTGTTCATTATCTATACGCCATATGAATGGACTCTTTGCATCTGGCATTCGAATTATCAGCAATTATTACGGTAGGTGATTTGCAGTTGAACGCGAATGATTTGATCGAAATTTTTGAGCTGAATCAGCAGTCGTACATTAATGCTGTGATTATTTTTTGATATCTGTATTTGTGTTTTTTGATCGATTAAAGACAAATACCATCGCGAATATTGGTACATTTGTTAGGGAAATTCAATGAAGACAGCAATCGCAGCTATCATTATGAGGACTTTCCTAGTTATGCACTTCCTCATTGATAATTCCAATCGAGGATTCACATCAGATGATCGTGTTTTAATTATTATCAATTTCAGAACCAAACTAATGATGAACAGAACTTGTCATCTGATCGTGAGATATCGCGGTGTTCCTCACGAAGGAACAAGCAAATATCAATTGTTTTCATGCTCATATTAATGTGGTGACCTCATATTGTCTTCGTCCACTCGTCCTGTTGAATGAGTATATCTCAAGTGCTTGCCTGGAACTGTAGGGCATATATCGTACGTCAGTGATAATTTCACTTGAAGCTACACCACTTTAGACCGAAGCTGTTCGCATCATTTTACGCTATTCGTTTCAATTGAATATCTTTTCGTTTTTCATATTCTTGTTTGATGTATATAACATTCGTGTTTAAAATTGAAAACGACGATCAAAACGAATTCTCAAACAGCCCTAATTCAACAGTACATTTGGAACTATAAAGATTACTACGTTCAAATGCAGTTTGCGTTTAGAATTTCATAAAAACACAGTCCATTCACTGCACATTTACCGTGGATAATAAAGCGATGGATAAGTACATTTAATTCATTCACTGTGGGTAATTCGCTCATTGCAATTTTCATTATTCATTTTCAGTGTTCAAGGTACTGTAATCAATCAATTGAAATTGTTTAACTGTAAGTGATATACGCTTCGATCACCATCACGAAAAGATTTTTTCTATGAAAATTTAATCGCTGATTTGAATCGTTGCTAATCGAATTCACAAGCATTCGCGTTCTTGAATGAAATCAAATTGAATATTCTCGGTATTCTCTGATAATTCCCTCGATGTATAGTTGAACTCAGGCACACAGTCATTATTATTCGAACGAAAAATCGTTTAAGCAACAGCAACAACTGTCTCAAGCATCTGTTTACTGAGCAACAATTTTTTTTAAAACTGCTACGAAAACGAGATGAGAGCTAAATAATATTTATTAAGAAAAGTATCATAATGACATTATCCCATTGAATGTAAAAATCGTAAATGACACTGAACATCAGATGACAAAACAGCGATACGCAGTTTTATCAATGTTATTCTACATTTTCTTGATGATCGAACCAATTCCAAGCGGCACCGAATAGCGCCTTGAATGGGCAACCCGTAGAATTGGTGTTGTTTTGCTGATACTCGTCCAAATAATCCCATTCTACTAGATCCAGTACTGATTGTGGTATATCCACATGTCCAGGTGGTAGAGCTGAAAAAGAGTGAAATGAAATAACTCAGAATTGAGGCTCAGATATCAGGAACTGTTAACAGTGTCACTGAACTTTGAATTATTCGGATACCTATCGATCTGTTGTATCATTCGAATCCAGATCAGCTACGAGTCAATCATTGGTAAAGTTTAAATGTATCATTATCATAAACAATGCGTTTCTTCAGGCAGAAACCTTCTTAGCGCCGACGCTTACATCCACTGATGGAAAAAAGCTGCTGTTCGTATAGGTGAGGAAAGAGTTTTAGGGTGCACATGCTCATACTCACCGATTTTTGACCTGCTCACTAACTGATCAAGCTTCCACTATCAGCCCGACAAAATCTCCGCTCGTGTTCGTTCGAAGACCCCTTCCCATCCCTATACTGATAGGTATCCGTATCCAACAGAAGCATTTTGTTCTGAAGGCAGAAGCCATCTTTTGCCTAACGGTCTCAGTCAGCTAAACGTGACCAATTCGATACGGATGAATGCGATTCATATAATCATAAAGCGAATAATGAAATATGACTTACTATTGTGGTTTTGAGGCGATTGTGTTGGTTGAAGCGTTTGTTGAAGCGTTTGTTGGCAGAAGAGAGCCAAAGCAACGATGAGTATCACCTTCATTCTCGGTTGAATGATATTGGAACTGTGACTTTCGGTGGATCTCTTCCGCTTTTATGCTTAACTCGTTGTCACGTTCACAATCGAATCGCCTTGCTACTGTACATTCTGCCATCACATCAACACGCGTCATGTTTATCTGTTTGTACTTGACGTTACCATCGCACAATGAACACACAACTTATTTGTGCTGATTCATGTGTCCTCTGGCTGCAATAGTCGCATATTCAATTTCGATTGCTCTCGTCCAGGCAATTTCAAATGAAACAGCTCCAGCTTCGTGTCTTTCTGTTCTAGTCGATATACCTTTAGTTGTGGGTTTTTCGCCTTCATGAGTCAAACCTTCTGCTTCAGATTCCTCTGTTCCAGATGGCACACCTTCTCACCGTTTTTGCCAAACTGCATCATTTTTCGTTGCAAAATTCTTCACTACGAAAAAAGTTTTTCTCTAGAATACGTCAAACAATTCGAAAAAAAATCCATCACAAGTGAAGAATAATTCACTGAAATTCTTCTGTTACAAAAATTGAAAAGTTGAGGCGAATTTTCATTCACTGTG